ACCATTACGTCTGAACAGACGCTTGCGAATTCTGGCGTTCAGAAGTCCCTTGTTTTCCTATGCTACCAGAATTTGTATGTATGCCTTGGACAAGCCAACTTGCAAAATGCTTACCAACGTTAAGTCTTATAAGTAGATCCTTGGGTACTGGCGCTGGTACCGGTGACCTCCAGGAGCAGCGCTCAGTCCTTTGGAGTAATAATAATAACATTTTTCCCTGAACATACGGGCACACACCATTTTTGCAGGTATGAATAAGTTACTATATGTTAAACTCATGTTAACCTCATAATCTGAGAATAAAGGATTTATTTATTTATTCGTACAAATCACATGTTTCCTTACGGCATGTAATCTCGATCCCCACCTATTCTGTCACCGGAAGATATGTCCCGCATGTTCATATGGTTCAATATCCCGGCAGGACAGGTACGCAAACATTTACAGGTTGGGCAAGCGAAAGTACTGTCTTCGGATCAATGAAGAAACCGAGTTCGTATCCCCACTTTACGTGTATTACCCGAAGAAAAATAAAGCTTGAAGTCAATACTTCCATCCTAACCGTTTATACTCTTCGCTGGGGATAGTGATGAAACGTTTATGAGGGAATGTACACACAATAATGCTGGATAGTGGCCAGCAGCGAACTCCGGGATGCGCATTTCGTTCTATCCAAGACTCGTCAGCGGGATGCACCTGCTTTTCAGTGAGTGATGTTCCCACCACCATTCCAACCCGGAAGCGATCGCTTCAATCGCAAGAGCATTATCCACTACACCAACTGGCCACGATAGGTCCCCACTGGCATATGGGCTTCTGTGCTTGGCGATCGCTCCCGATTGCAGATCTCGGCGGGAACAACACTCACCGAGAGGAAGGTACACCTGGCTAACGAGTCCTAGATAGAACGAAACGCGCATCCTGGGTTCTACTGCTAGCCACCATCCATCGCCACTACATATAACTAAAACACAGGCAACATCTAGGCGTCCGCATAGGAGCCCATATGCCGACAGGGACCGACCAATTAGGTCAAACCAACGAGGGCACAATACAAGCAATTATAATGATGCATACAATAGTTGTTTATTTATTGTACTTCATTGTTGATTCCAAAAATGTACAATTCAAGTATGTTAACACCATTTCCTACCAGAGATTCGTAGTCTTGCCGAACATCACGATTGAGAGCCAAATATATTCGTTAGTGCAACTGCAGCATGCAGGAGCAATAGACTTGTTGAAGTGCGTCAAGTAGACTTTCAGGATATCTTGTCCGTCGTATTCAAACTATATCATTATTATTATTAACGGGTAGTGACAACCATGTGGTCAGTAAGTGTTAGACCTTCCTGGTTAATTTCATAATCAGTATATCCCAGGTTTCGATCATTTGAAGTTGTAGTTCAATAAACGTTCTTTGTTTCTGTTTGTTGTGGTTGGGTATTTTGAGCGCAGTAACGCCGGCTACCCTCCGTGAGGAGTAGTTTCAGGCAAGGTCTGTTACTTGGGCAATTATTTTTAGTTGAAAACCAGGCCAAAAGTTAGAGGCGAATTGCTTTTCCACAACGAGAAAAAGGAGAAAGAAGCGAGAATTCCCACTTCTGTGCTTCCTTCTACTTAAATTTCTTTGCTATAGCGTTCATTTTATGTGCTTTTTCCATAAAATACTTAAGAACATAAATTTCGTGCCATCATGTGGTGTAGAACTTCTATTTTTGATTGCTAAGTGGGGTGGGGTAGAATGTGTCGTTATTTTCAGGTGACGCGGAACAGTTTGCCTGGGGTAGCGCGTGAATCAAACACTTTGACTAGGTTTATAAGACTGCTTAACTCTACACTACAGGACAGCACCGCAAAAGGCACCACCAATACTGCTACCAAAACTACAGACATATTAGGACCTCTCAACATATAAACAGCTTGCAACCTGAGAGGTGCAGAGGCTACACCTGCTTTTGTTGTTTTTTCTACCAAGACTCCAAATGGCTGCAACATGAAGATATCATTGGACTATGAAGAAACCGGACCATAATAAAACTTACCGAACTGTCAGGAAATCTGAACCGTTAACGAACAAGGGATTTAACTCGAATCCTCGAACACCCACATCGTTAAGATGACCTTCAGTGATGACAACAGGACACAAATGGGGGATATACGTCACTGAAATTTCTGTTACAGGCAGTCTACATGTTTGATTCGTTTCCGCAATGCCCCGTTACGCCAGATAATGTCTATTTTACCATGAATTCTCGCGCTTATAGCTTCCTAGACCAAAATAACTCACACTGACTACCTGAGGAATCTGTAAGTTTCCACACAATCACCTAACCCTAGTGAATACCTGTTCAGGTGTTGTCATTCATAGCAATATAGATTTGCGCCATCGGAATTAGATATCGTGGTGCAAAGGAGTGAACATCTAAAGAGCTGCGGACCGATGGCAACGCGTTTTCCATACTCTTCACGTTAAGGTATGCAGCATTTTCAAGGAGGTACATCCACTGTTTGATGAAGTACTAGAGAAGTCTGTTGCACAACATTATTGTGAAAAAGTTCACTCTGAAGTTGACAGGTGAGTTGATCTCCTGGATTTTACTGTCTGCCCAGATTTTCGTTGCCATTATGACCGTCCAGCAATTTGAGTAGTTCGAGGATTGATAAATGTTCATATAATGAGAGGGTCAACTTAGTGAATGGGATTGCTAACCCTTACTTATTGGATAGTGACTTCCATGGGATCTCAGTTTTATCGCTTTGCAAGACAGTGGAATGTTGAGAACCAGTAACATGTATCCCTCATTTGTGTCCTGTTGTCATCGTTGGAAGCCATCTTGATGATGTGAGTCTTCGGGGATTCCAGTTAAGGTTCAGATTTCCTGACAGTTCGGTAAGTTTTATTATGGTCCGGTTTCTTCATAGTCCAATGATATCTTCATGTTGCAGCCATTTGGAGTCTTGGTAGAAAAAACAACAAAAGCAGGTGTAGCCTCTGCACCTCTCAGGTTGCAAGCTGTTTATATGTTGAGAGGTCCTAATATGTCTGTAGTTTTGGTAGCAGTATTGGTGGTGCCTTTTGCGGTGCTGTCCTGTAGTGTAGAGTTAAGCAGTCTTATAAACCTAGTCAAAGTGTATGATTATCTTGTTAACAAATTAATAAATGTCTTACATCAGTAATTTGACGTGAGAGAAGCCAGTTTGCAGGCATCATCACACTGATATATGTCGAAAAATCTTCAAGACTTTACGAGTCATGAACGGCACAAACGGTCTGTCACTAAACTCTGCTAAAACACCGGAAGATTCTGCCATTTATGAAATGAACAATAAAATGTCACTCTCCAGCGTATACGGCGTTTTGATAACCCTCCAGAAGCAACTACAAGACATGAACGCTAAGCTTGAAGTTGTTCTACCACTGCTCCATCTTTGTCAGCCTAATCTAGAAGCCAGTACAGAAACCTTATTAAAAACAGAAAGTGTCCTAGATTTCATTGCTACAGAGGTTAATAAAAGGATTATGTCCTCACATAATGTATTAGTATACAACATACCCGACCACGAACCGATCAAGCAAGCAAAAGCCTTATGTCTGCAGGCTTGTAACATGTCTTCTACAGAATGCCAAGTTACCCGTCTCCGCAAGAAGTTGGGGAAATATACCTGCCCCTTGCTGTTCAAATTTAGTGGCTCTTACCACGCCAGACACTTCCTATCATCCAAGCAACTTATTAGTGTATCCACACCATATAAAAATGTCAAACTTTCGCAAGACTTAACACCTTGTCAGAGACGTAGTCGCACAAAAATACCAAAAACTGCTAATTCTAGTCAAGCTCTGGTACCCAAAACAGCAACACAATCTATTAGCGAACTGGCTACTGTACAAACACAATGGAATGAGGAATACCAAAGCCCACAAACTAGCCCACTCACACACAGACGTAGAGCCGATGACACGACGGTAGGCTTGGACAAATCGATGAACTACACTCAAAAACAGGCACACGATCTCCTAAAGGTGGTCTCACTGTCTACAGAAGTGGAAAGCCAGTCCCCGTCTTACCCCGTCACACAGGTCACCCCCAAACCAAGTGCTACGCTATCGACCCAACAAATTACTGAAAACGTTATTATGTCATCACCAGGTGTCACTCAGCCTATAAACATACCCAGCACCAGCCACAAGCACCCTGTTATCATAGGACCGCCCCCAAGCTTAGCGCGTAAACAGTCAAATCTATCCCCACCTCAGCCAGTGCAAAACTTATATGCACCAAATAGGCAGATGATAAAGAGTACAGATAGCACTAGACACTCTTATACAAACCCCACTATGCACCTACCCAGGTTAAATAAACTGCCGAAAAGGCAATCAAGCAGTCTCACCAATAGACGAAAAAACAATACAAATAGTCAAAAGACCATTGCACCCTCGCAAAGTCACACTAGGGAAAATGCCAAACGTTATTTCTCAGGTCATCCTATGACCAAGTCAAATAACTACTCTCCAGGCGACCCACACTTCTTAACACTTCCGCGGTCACTAGCAGATACACATCACCGCCGGACCCCTCAACGATCACAGTTATTGGATAGGGAGCAAAATGGTAGTCACAGACTATGCTTTCCGCCTCACCCATACGCCGAAAGACGTGGGTCATACGCTACACAAGGACAAACTTACAACAGATCCCCTAAAGAAAATCAAGGGGAATATGAATCTGTCTATGACCAAAATGCATACGGCAACCAGCGGACAGGTGTGCCATACAACTTATCAATCCCCGTTACTTCTTATGAACAGGGTTTTTTCGGACAGCCTACGGCTGCAACGCCACCAGTAATGCAGGTGATTCGGATGCTGTCGGATCATCTGCTCTCTACCCTGACCAACAGTCTCTATACCAATCACAATGTAGTGAATACCTCGCTCCTTCCGAGGTAAACAGTACCGAATCGTCACCCTGTACAAAAGGTCATGACATCGCTAGCACGATGTACGCAAAGGACGCCCAAGAAACGTACCAAAGTGCTGACTTTCTCCGAGATATATCTAAACACTTTTGTACTATTAACTCGCTCTCGTTTTGCCTGATTAACGCCCGCTCTATACGCAACAAAATGAAAGAGATTATGCTGCTATCTCTGATAAGTGGTCCGTCCGTGATAATGGTTACAGAAACTTGGTGTACCAATGATATTTGCGACGCAGAGATCTCCATTGACAACTATTCCTTGTTCAGGAAGGATAGACTGCATGGTAGGGGAGGAGGGTGCATTATCTATGTAAAGTCTGACATCACTGCTACGCAGTGCCCTACATCTGAGCTAAACGAGATTGACGACTCAGTATGGATTATCGCAAAACTTACTCGCTCCACTTCCCTCCTAATAGGATGCATTTACCGGCCCCCTTCCTCCTCAGTCGAATACGACGACAAGCTAACAAGCGTGTTCGCCCGTGTGGCAACACTACCACACACAGCGAAAATTATATGTGGTGACTTTAACATGCCAGATATAAAGTGGCGACCAATTAGCTATCCAGAGCGCTTTGATAAATTCATAAGCATTCTTGAAACAGAGGGTTGGCAACAACATGTGGAACACCCTACCAGGTACAATAGTGTCCTGGACCTAGTCTTCACAAACGGAACCACACCCACAAAACTCCAAGTGGGTACACAACTTCCAGGTAGCGATCACAAGGTTGTATATGGATACTTCAATATAACCAGCACAAAAGTGGCCCAAAAGTCAGGAACAGTACTAACTAGAAATTACAAGTATGCCAAATGGGACGAACTACAATCGTTTCTGCGCTGCCTAGATTGGAGCCCCTACTTTACCAACAGTTCAGCCAAAGAACTCTGTGATCTATTCTATGAATATATAGGCACAGCTCAAGACTATGTTGCTCCACCGCTCCGAAGAGAAATTAAGAAAAACAGAGCTGACTATATACCAAAGAAAGTACGCATCCGCATGCGAAACCATGTCAGAGAGTACTATAAGTCGAATGACTTTTCGTCGCTTGTCACACTCAAAGACACATACGACACATTCAAGGCAGAAAGAGTAATAGAAGCCGTTAAACAAGAACGCATCCAATGTAGTAAAACTAGTAATACAGAAGCACTAGTGAGACTGATGAAAACCCGGATAAGTAGCTCCAGAAATAGTACCCCTAGTTTAATCATGGACAACGGCATCCTCTACGATAACCCACTACAAATCAGCGAGCTGTTCGGTTACCAGTTTGCTAGCTGCTTTACACAAGAGGACGAAATAAAAGTCATTGGTGCACCGTCAACACCAACTCACTCCATAAGTACAGTGCTCTTCTCTAAACAAAACATTTCTCTAGCTATAGCATCACTTCGAACCTCATACAGTGCGGGGCCTGATGGAATTCCAACCATCTTGTTAAAAAGAGGTGGCGAAGATATACCGCTGATTCTCTTGAAGCTCTTTAATACGTCCCTCTCCAGTGGCAATTACCCTGAGAACTGGAAACTATCATACATATGTCCTAAGCATAAATGTGGACCAACATCTAATATAGAAAACTACCGACCTATAAACATCACGTCAGTAGTATCCAGGACTATGGAAAAGGTGATTGTGAAAGCAGTTGTCGACTATATGACGACTAACCAATTACTCTCACCAGCACAACATGGATTCTTGAAAGGCCGGTCATGCACTACAAGCTATCTTGACTATCTAGACAACGTTACAAGCAAGCGTGACCAAGGCCTATTTGTAACTACCCTTTTCTTAGACTTCAAGCAAGCATTCGATAAGGTGCCTCACAAACGCCTGGTCACTAAGTTGCAATCATATGGTTTCCGAGACCCGTTACTGTCCTGGCTCAGAACATCTTTAGAGGGTCGCTTCCAAGTAGTAAAATTCAGTAATTGCTACTCCACCCCTAGACTTATACAAAGTGGTGTCGTCCAGGGTAGTGTGCTAGGACCGATACTTTTCCTAATCTATGTAAACGATATCTGCAGTGTTATCCGAAATGGCATACCCTACCTTTTCGCTGACGACTTGAAGATAGTCTACAGCTTTTCTCCTGCAGCACTAACACAGGGTTTCTCTCAAATACAAGAAGATCTGAAGAGGATATTCATATGGAGCGAGACCTGGCAGCTCCCTCTAAACCCAAATAAAAGTGGCATCCTCCATTTCAATAAATCCCACCCAGAAGTAACGCTACACTTGGGTGATATTGCACTGCAGGTATACAACACTGTGAAAGACCTCGGAATCACTTACTCCAGAAGTTTGACTTTTACGGAGTATGCAGACTCAGTAGTTTCCAAGGGCAGAAGACTCATCGGTCTTCTACACAGAAACATACTCATACCTGAGGCAAAACTTATACTGTACAAGGCTATGGTTCGCCCAATATTAGAGTACTGCACCGTTATCTATGGTAGCATGAATGTGTCGGACAGAATTCGAGTAGAGAACATTCAACGGAACTTTACTCGGCGCCTACTAATACATAACGAAGGACTTCCTTACGAAGCAAGATGCAAAAAACTAGGACTAGAATCACTCTGGCTGAGACGCCTGAAGCTCAACTTAACACTTCTTTTTCGTCTTTTATTTACAAACCCTAAAACGAAATGTGCTGTCACTTTTAAAACAACACAGGCATATAATCTGCGTAATAGCGAGAACATCATCCCAATAAATAAGTATCGCTCAAAACTTCGATGTAGGTTTTTCATAACGCAATACAGTATGCTGTGGAACAAACTTCCCGCTCCTATACGAGCATGCCGTTCGCTCGGCCAGTTTCAACGACTACTTAGTAAATTCCTCCTATCTAACGAATCTCATCAATTCGTTGACGGCCAAACCACAAACGGTAATGCCATGCACTAAGGTACTACTGGTACCTAGACTCAAGGGAGACTAACAGCAATGACATAAGTATACAATGCCGAAAACTAAACGCAATAGTTAAGTTAAAATCTAATTTCTTAGAAAAAAAATGACCAAGAGTGAACAGGAAGCGGAGTGCGACACGATATGCTACAGTGAACTTATTAGATACTCAAATGTAACCTACTTTTCTTCACAACCTAACCGATCTCACGACTTAACACCTATTTCCTAAAAATCGCCCCTTAAAGTAATCTCTCTACTCCGAAAAGATAAAAGAACTGTCTGTCGGTGCATTTTCATAGCATGCAACTCTTTATTATTTGCCCTTTGTCATCAGTACTTACATCTAAGTACTCTGCACCAACATAGTTTCGGTAGACCCGATATGGTAATGCTCAACAGGCAACACCATGATCATCCCCTCGTGACCAGATAAAGGGTGGTGGTCCTAAGAACAAAAAAAAACCACGAATTTCACCTAAATGTTTATAACTTCATCATACGCTTGTACATAGGTATATAACAAGTTAATACCTGGTCAAATATCCTCTAATCTTTCTATTTCGTAGTGATATCTTCAGCTTCAGACTGACTTTCATTACTGTCGTGCGCACCTTCATCTTCTTCCACCTAAGCTTACCTCTAAACAGTTGGTTCTGGACACTTCCTCAAGTAAGTTTAATAGTCAGTACAAACTCACCCAGATGTATCATGGTCGATCTACTCCTGCGTATTTTTGTGCTCCTGTTACAAATTTCGCCTGCTGCTCGCTTTTGTTATTCACTTTTCAGATTTACTTAACCAGTCCTGCATTCAAATGGAATCCTACAAATCGCATTCGTCAGCGGGAAATATTGGCACCGAAACCTGATGACGAACGCGCACACCCCAAGGTCATGACTGTGATGCGGCCTCACCTTCAAGAATATTGGATGATTCAAACGATGACCGGATAATCTTCAAATTCGAACTGAGCCTGCTTCAACATGCCTCCTATATGCCATAAATCACAGCATCTAATGTATAGCATAACATTGTACATAATAGTCATCTCTCATTACCAAAGTGATCAAACCTGTAAACTGGTTTGTATTCATGTAACCTTTGTTGCATGAAATATATTATTATTATTATTATTAAGTCTAGATAATAGTAGTTTTTATCCTCATATAATGGATTTAACATGAGAGGTGCCAGTGTACGAACATCGTCAAACTGATAATTCATGAAAGTTTTCAAAATAGGATTTAGCGTTGAATAATTCACATGTCAAGTCATTGATATGCATAATCTTCTTATTAAAACTCGCAGCAATTCATGAGACGGGTATGGATTTCCATCTGCCATCACACAGATAAATTCCACTATTAATAACAAAAGCGCGCAATGTTCAAAGCTTGTATTGCAGCCAACCGACGTTGTTAGCCCATTTGCGTAGCTCCTTGCTTAGTAGTATAACCGTCCATTTATAAGAAAGTTCCTCGGTTTTGGCTAACCACAAAGAACCCATGCATACTATCTGGAGTATAGGTAAAGTATCCACAGGTATATAACCAAGATAAGTGTCAAGATCAGTGCATTTTGAGGTCACCGTGTTACGTTTAGAGGTGATGCGAATACTTTTAGTAGTGGATAGAAACAGACTTTGAAACGGTCACTCGTCCAAATGGCAGTAGCTATACATACACTCCAGGCATCTTTCCAATTAAAGTAAGCAGTATAATTCCAGACGTGAATCTGCTACGTAGTGACTTCCACCAGAAAAGATCACTTCCAATATCCATTATCTTTTTAATGAGCTTGTGAAACCAGTTGATTTCTTCTTTCTCGCTTCTTGGTCTTGAGGAACGGTTCCAGGTCTTTGGCGGATTCCGATGCAGTAGATCCGGCCACTCGTCTGCTATAGCTCTGATTTACAGAACAGGAAGTTGAGCGTTGGTTTGTTTACCCTGGACTGTGGTGCAGTTCGCTTCTTCAGATGTCGAGTTGCCAGACAGTTGTTCGGACTGGTGGCTGGGGAGGGTTAGAGATAGTGAGCAGAAAACCTAGAAAGTGTTTGTGTGAGTAAAAGAAGACAGGAAAAGTAAACTAATGGAGTAATCTATTTACACCCAAGTAAGGGGAGTAGGGATGCATAGGTATGAAGAACTTAGGTAAGTGAGGCTAACTTATGGCAAGTGGAAGGGGTGAAAAGGGCTTAAATAGTTAAAATAGAAAGAAACCTGGTTGGGGTGGCTTGACGTCACTTCGTGTTCCAGCTATGTGTGGGTAGACCGTGAGTCCCTGCTTGACCGTCTAGCCTCTTCTTGAAGCTTTCAACAGCTAGGGCGGGGAACACCTCTGCTGGTAGTGCGTTCCAGTACCCACAGACTCGGAGGGAGAAGAACTGTGAAAGTACATGCGTTTTTGACGTCTGGTGTGCTATTCCATTGGAGTTTCCTCGAGGATCTCCGTAGTGGCCACTCGGTAGGACTCCTCCCTTTGGATGACTTAAGTTACTCATTATTCTGTAAGCCATCATTTAGCCGCCACGCATCCTACGATAGCTACGAGGGTACAGACCTTTATATTGGATATGAGTCTATGAGTCTATCCTCATATGGTTTTCGATGCATTCTAACAACCCCCCTTGTGGCTCGCCTCTGGACTTTCTCCAGGAAGTTCACGCCTCTTTTCAGCTGTGGTGGAGAAAAAACGTTATGGACCTCTAAGTGGGGCCGTATTTAAGTCTTGTATAGCTTCAGAAAGAGTTCTGGGGCGAGGGCACCCAGTTGTCCACGTACAAAGTGTAGTACCTCATATGCTTTTGAGACGTCACCCGGGTAATTGGAACTGGTGTCCAGTTTCTCCATCACCGTTGGACCCAGGTCTTTTTCTACTGTGGTATGGGATAGACGTGGACCACAGAGATAGTAGGATGTTTTCTGGGGATCAGGAGTACGGAAAAACGTGGGCCGGCAATTATCCAGATCAAATGCCAGTTCGTTATTGGTTCCCCATTCCTCTAGTGTTCTGAGGTCCCTCGGTAATGCCTTAGATTCCGCCTCGCAAGTTATTGCCCTCCATAACTTGACATTATCAGCTTATAGGAGAATCGGGGAGCTGATATGTTGCGGCAAGTCACTTACGAACAGGAGGAACAACAGTGGGCCCAAGATTGCTCCTTGTGAGACGCCGGATGAGGATGTTCTCCAAGCTGAGTAGACCCCGTTGACTTTCGTGCAGAACTCCCTGTTGTCTAAGTAGTTCTGCAGCTACGATGGCACCTGGCTGCAAATACCTAACCCAGCCATCTTATGTACAAGAATATGGTGTGAGACGGTTTCGAAGGCTTTGGCGAAGTCCAGAAAAATTGCCTAGCCGGGGACCTTGAGATCCCAGCATGCTGTCTAATGATCATGGGCTGTCAGGAGGCTGGAGGCACATGACCTACCCTTCCGGAAGCCATGTTGAACGTCAATGAGTCCCTGCTTGGTGTCCAGATATTCTCTGATGTGGTCGTCCATCACACTTACCATTACCTTTGATATTACTGGTAGAAGTGCTATGGGTCTACAACACTTGGGGTTCTGTCTGTCTCCTCCTTTGAAGATGGGAGAAAGAATAGCCCATTTCCACTCTCGTGGGAGCCTTCGCTCATCCAAGGAGTGTCGGAAGAGGTCGCAGGGTGGGCCACTTAGGGTGCTTGCACATTCTTTCAACATAGATGGGCGGATTTCATCGCGCCCTGGGGATTTTCCTGCGCTTAGCTTTAATGGCTTATAAAGAACAACAGCACGAGAAATTTGTATTTCGTGTAACTCAGCAGCATCGGGCAACGTTGGGGGCTGTTCGTGTAATGAATATGCCCACTTTCTTGATGGAATGTTGAGCTGTATGTCAAATGTGGTGCTCAGCATCTTGACAATCTCCTGTCCAGAGAGGTTTTCTCCGTTCGGACCTTTCACGACACATGCTCCTTGGCTTGTCAATTTTCTTTTTGCCATGAATCGGTGGGGGTTTTCAGGGTTTACCTCGAGCCTTTTGGCGAAGTTGAACTGGAACAACCTCCTGTCTCCCCGCAACCTTATGTTGCTTCAATTCCGTACAGTCATGTTTGCGTCGTGACCGCCCTGTTCCCTGGAGAGTCTCTATATGCGCCACGCCCTTCTCTTGGCTTTTAGAAGGCGCTCAGTGGCCTATTTTAGCCATGACGTTCGCTTTCTGGTTGTTTTTACCGCCAAATTGACTTTTTGTGAGATGGCCGCCTTAACGATATCTTTTACCAGTTCCCAGTGCTGGTCAATCGATAAGGAACACCAATCCACTGGCCACGAAGCTGTTGAAAGGCTTCTGTTCACACCCTCGTAATTTGCCTTTTTGTAACATAGGTAAGGGCGAGGTCCCTCCCAAGATAGTTCTTCACTAATTACCAGGTCGAACACTACCATAGCGTGATCGCTACTTCCAAGAAAGGTCAGTACCTGAACTTTTTCAACCAGAAGATCACTAGTCAGTAGGTAATCCAGTTTAGATGGTTTACCATCTGACCCCACCTGGTGTTGTCGCTGATTTTTTCTTGCAGCCCAGCCATTCGGATGGCTTTTAGCAGGTTACAGTCGAACTTCCGGCTCGGGGTGGTGCCACCTTGCCCTAGGCTGAAGGTTAGAGCGTTGAAGTCATCAGCTATTAAAATCTGGTCTTACCCTACAGTTGACACTATGGATATTGCTTGGAGTAGTTCTTGGTTGTGTTCCAAGTTGCTATTAGGGGACCTATAGATTCCTCGAACTAGGAATTTGATGTGTTTGACCGTGAAGTGGCACCGGATAGAGTCTGGAAGCTCTGTCAGTGCCGTGTCAGTGGTTTATTCGCTTCTGAACCACTTGTTCGCGTATATCGCAACCACCTCCGTCCCTATGTTCTCTATCTCTCCTGAACAGAATCATGTTATCTATGTTAACTTCGATGTCAGTTATGTTTGATAACAACCACATTTCTGTCAGGATCATGATTTTCGGGACGAGGTCGAGACAGAGGGATCTGAGCTCTGGCATTTTACTTCGGGGTCCTCTCATGTTGCTGTAGAGACACTTGGAGATACTTCTCGTAACTTGAGATGCCCCTACTTTGAATGTAGGTTCCAATGGAACTGGTCCAGTTGAGTTTTTTCCCTCGTCGACTGGTGCATTCGGTGTTGGGTGGAGGTTGCTGGTCTGACCCTCAACGTTTCGGTTTAGGGTTACGGTGGCCTGAACACAGGGCGTAACTGCTGTTTGCTGTTGCCGCAGTGTTCTCGGTCTGCTTTCACAGCAGCAAACGTCGCCGCTTATGGTGTCCATGTCTCCAGCACTCTGGTGATTACTTCTACGGATTCGGAGTTGACAGCCATTAGTCCGGGTGAGGTCATGGTTGTCAGATGCGAGAAGCGTGGTAGTCTACCAGTCGTCGCAGCTGCAACCCCGCTCAGCTCCATCCGAGCAGATAACCACTCCCATTGTTTGACGTCGTGTGTGTACTTCTCATCTGGGGTACCGGTCACCACTTCAGGTATTCCATGTACGACCGTGGTTGTGGGTTTTAGTGGACCAGCTGCTTCTTGGGATGTCTTTCTTGACACCCATGATCGGATGGGTCTAGCTCTAATGTCGGACGACCTGTTGATAACCAGGGTGTGTGACAGTAAGAGGAACTTTTCAGCGTCCCCAGTTGAGCCCGGCGTCACTCTCATCGGCGGAGGCTTCCCTGTGGGCGAGTGGGTGTCTTTGTATAGTCGACACAGTTTTGCCTCGAGAGGGCCCAGACCTAGCATCGCACAGCGAGAGTCCCACTGCTGCCTGTCAAACTTGTCCTTATGTTCCAGGGGGCTATCATCGCAGATGGGAACGTCAAACAGAATGACAGAGCTAGATCGGTCGGTGATGCCAATGTTATCCGATCCTATAGGTGCGTTTTCATGAATACTTTGAGTTTTTTCTCCACCCTAACCCATTCTCTATGTTTTCGGCTGAGCACTGTTTCCGGTATGGCTCCTAAGCTTGAGACGGATGTAGTTGCCGTTGGTGTAGGCAGTCTTTTGTTCGGCTTAAACCCCTCAGGTTTTTGACCTTCAGTAGGCCACCGTTAAAGTCCTCTGATGAGTAAATATCCTCTGTG